CCTCGGCCTCCCAGAGAGCTAGGATTACAGGCGTGAGCCACCGCGCCCGGCCTATCCTTCATATTTTTTAGCATAAATTCTGATCCTGTAGGTCATAGCTCTCAAATTTTAATGTGTAATCAAATCACCTGAGGATCTTATTGAAATGCAAATTCTAATTCAGTATGTGTATGTCTGGGGGGAGCCTAAAATTCTATATTTCTAACAAGCTTTCCCAGTGCTGATGGTTTGAGGACCATATTTGGAATTGCAAGGATCTGGCTTGGTGTACTATTTGGGACTGTTCTCAGGTATTCCACATTGCATGTTGTAATACCTTAAACTGTGAGGAATAACAATACTGAATATAATAGGAAGACCAACAGGCAATTCATGGTTAGTTTATTGTGTAAAAAACACGTTCCCCTTATTACACTCTTCAGGCCTTTCAAAATTACTTGGATTATAGTAAGCCTCTAGTCATAATGCTTTTCCTGCTTTGATGCTTGTGAGTATTACCCAATTTAGTAATAAAAGTGTATCAAACATGATTTACTCATAGTGTGGATGTTTATATTCTGTCTCCCACCAAAAAATAAAAGGTCAATGTTATTTGACTCCAGGGGCAATTAGAAAATTGAAAGGTTAGCCAGGCATAAACTGGTGGTATTCGTCATGAGTGGATTTCAAACCAAGGTCTGACCAACTATAAGCCCATGTTTTTAGTCATTGTGATGCTATGTAGTGTTCTGTCTGACCCTGGAGTGACCACCTGAGTGGCAATAGCAATTTTCAGTGAAATGCATGAATTGGGACCATCTCAGGCAAACCTTGCTAACTGTTGACCCTGCCTTTACTTCATTTCCAATCCATTACAATTCACACACACTTGCCACACTGGAAAACACATCCTATGGCACCTGCACAAAAATTTGGTTGGACTATTGCATATTAGCCCTTTTAGATAATTAGGGTTGAGGCTTGTCTTACCTGCAATAATATTTATCTTGATTTTCCATTCTGCAGCTTTCTTTAGAATATGCTGAATATAAATAACATGTTATTATGAGCTGATTTTTAAAAATTGCTTTTTAATACTTGAGATGAAGTTTTCAAACTTAAAATTTCATTAGAAATTAGACTCCTCCCCTTACAAAAATTTCAGGTGGATGGACAGTATTTTGAAAATAAGAAATCAAACCATTTTTCAACATATTTAATAATCTAAACCAAATTACATAATTACATCAAGTGATTAAAAAGCTACTGTCATGTACTACATAATGATGTTTTGGTCAACAACAGAATGCATACATTATGGACTGCATAACATAAGAGAGCTAAAAAATTCCTATTGCCTAGTGACACAGCTGTCTTGACACTAAAAGGTAGTACAGTGCATTTTCGATGTTTAGATATGTTCAGATAAACAAATATCATCCTGTTACAATTACCTATACTATTTAGTACAGTAGTATGTGTTCAGGTTTGTAGCTTAGGAGCAATAGGATACTATATAGCCTAGGTGGTACACTCTGCTGTTCACACAGTGATGAAATTACCTAATGACATGTTTCTCAGGATGTAGCCCTGTTGTTAAGGGATGCATGACTATTTCAGAAATCCATCAGTACTTGGATGGTTTCTGCAGCATTATTTCATTAACATATACAGTTAGCTATCCTCTTAGAAACCATTTAAAAGAGACCTATGTCCATAGGCAATTCAGTGGCAGTATGGTAAGGACGTGGTATATCAAGGTAAACTGCCCACATTTGAAATGCAGATCTACTTACAAGCTATGTAACACTGAGTAAATTACTCATTCTCTCCGTGTCTCAGTTTCCTCATCTGTTAAATGAGGATAATAATATTGGACTGTTGTAGACTATGAAAAGCGTTTTGAACTATGCTGACACACATATAAGCATCAAATATGTTAGCTATTTACAGGTCTAAAATTCTTGAACCATTTCACAAAGAATTACCAATTTTTAGTTAGTAATTTGTTATTAAAAATTGCTTTATGAATTAAAAAATACACAACATTCCAACATCAATAGAAATGGAAAAAGAAAGTTGACCATAATCCCTCTAAATTATGCATGTATACTTTTCTAAAAATGCTATAGTAAGAGAGAACAATATTTGGTATTATAAGCATTTTGTCCATGTCAGAGTCTTAATAATATAATTGGCATCAAGTTGATTGATAAAATACTTAACTTTCCCCAATATTTTAGGTTCAAATATTTCCATGTTATAAATAATACAGATAATATATTTATGCTTACAATTTCTTCCTGAATTTAATACATAATCCCAGTTCTGGGCATATTTTTCCCCTACTTTGAGATCTAGAATTTCTATATAAGGATACAGATGTTAACTGCAATTTAATGGAATCTTAGGATCCTTGATAAATTTATAAGAAATAGAATAATGACCTTTCTTTGTTACCTGACGCCTAAGGTTAGTGAAAGAGGTTTTAGATGTTAGATTATACGGTGGAATATGGTTGGTTCTGGCTGAGATGTAAAAGAATGAATTGGGTGAGCTTGGAATAAACACTGAAAGAATATAGTGCCAGGATTAGCTACTCTGCTACTCTGTCAAATCTAACTGTGTGCCAAGAACTAAATCCTCACAATGCCTGATGAGGTAAGATATGGCAACAACTTCAAGTCACACAGCTTGTTAGCCCATTTGCCAGGATATACTTACTCTTTTACCTAAATCAGGAGTGGGGAAACCGCAGCCTTAAGACCACATGTGCCCTTCTAGGTCCTTAAATGTGGCCTTTTGACTGAACCCAAATTTTACAGAACAAATCCTTCTATTTTCATTAATAATTTTTTGCTTGTCTTTTCTATTTT